AGAGAATAATGACTTTTAGAGTTCTTGGCTACTTTTCTATTTGCTATTAAACCTGGAAAGTTATCCACTGTTTCTCTGAGCAGTAGTATGTCCAGAATGTCCAGTGGGCAAAGAGTTAAACACTAAAGAGAAATAAATGACTATGCAACACGAAACAGGAAATACTGCTCTCAGTTATGCTAGCCTTATATAATAATTTCAGAAGAAATTTTCTACATTTGAAACAATTTAAATAACAGAGGAATACATTGTTGGATAAAACTATCATAAAACCATCTAGGCCTAGTGCCTTTTGGGGGGATGGGTTTTCTGCTTCATTAATCTATTAAAGCTTTCTACTTCTGTCAGTTTTTGTAATATCTACAGACACAAATCACATTTTTGGGTGGGAAAATTCTTCACCGAAATGTCCTGCATAGTGCAAGATGCTTAGCATTCCTGGTCACCAGTCACTAAATGTCAGTAGAAACCCTACTTCCACCAGTCATTTTGATGGGCCAACAACTCTCTCAGACAATTCATCCCAGAGGGACAGTAGCAACTCTAACTAACCACATAAAATTTATTCCTATAAATTCTCTTTTTAAGATTTTAAAATAATCTTAAAATAATTTTAAAATCAGAGAGATTTTAAAAATTCTCTGAATTTGTCCTTATATATATTCTTTATATTATTCCTATATTTTGTGTTTTTTTCTCTTTTCTTGATCAGATTGTCAGATATCTTTATAAAAACAAACAAGTTTTCATTGTAATGATCAACTCTATTGCTTTTTTTTTACTTCATTGTTTCTGCTTTTATTTTTTTCTTTATTTGAGGTGTAACATGCACACATACAGTATATGAAGTATACTACCTACTTTTATCTTTATTAATTCCTCTCTGCTACTTTCTTTTGGTTAAGCGTTAGTCTTTCTTGTGTTTTAACAAATGAATTTAAAGATATAAACTTTCCTCTGGGTATCACTTGGCCAAATACTATCAGTATTTATATGAAGTATTTCCACTACAATTAATTTCTAAGTAGAAAAATAGAAGAAAAAAAAAGATAGGCAACTCACAGACTAAATATATAACACTAATCAATAAGATAAGATGCTCAATTTCACTAGATGAGACAAATGACAATTTCAAAAGACAATTTTTTTACTTATCATGGTAAAAAAGGTTAAAGAGTGACAATATTCCATGTTGGTGAATGATGGAGAAAAGAGAGTGCTCCTTCACCACTAAGGGAGGGCAATTTAGCTCCACCAATTAGATCTAGACCTGCACCTACAATCTGAGTGGCTAATCCTACTTTCTATCAATGTCTCTTAAGAAATACTCTTATAAGCATGTAAGAATATGTGTATGGAATGTCCATGGCAGCATAATTTATGACAGAGAAATACTGGAGGCAACTTAAACATCTATCAACTGGAGAATGGAAAAATGAGTCATGGGATATTCAACAACCATTGAAAAAGAATAAAGTAGATTTGTAAGAACTAAGACAAAATTGTATCCATGATCTATAGACAAGGTAAATTAAAAAACAAGTTTGCAAAATCGTTTGTAAAATATGATCCCATTTTAGGTTAAAAACAAACAAAACAATCTCACATAGTCACTTTTGTATAAAGATAGCAAATGGCCTGAAGCATACACTACACTTTCAAACTGTGGTCAACTCTGGCAACTGTGAGTAGCAGAGAGGTGAGAAGAACCTGAGCATTTTATTTGTATTCTGTATTTCTGTATTGATTGAATTTTTTTCCAGTGAGCTAATACAAATGTAATTTTAAAATGTAATTTAAAAAAATCTCCCATCCCACCCCTCACATTGTAGTTTCTTGGACTATAGTAAGGAGGTCTGAAACCTCTGGCAGTCTCATTAACGTGGCCTTTTGAAAACTGATGAATTAATTTATAAAAGCTGCCTAAGATAATGACATTAGTGGAAAAGCAGAAAAGATTTAATATGTACTAACCCACAACACCATCTGCTGACTTGCCTCACATTCACCAACCCATCAGGCATTCCTTCCAGACTATTGAGAAATTGGCAGAGCCCATTTTCATATTTAATGTCTCAACTCCTTTGTCTGAAAGCTCTTTGAGTGATCCAAGCAGCTAGCCTGGAGGCAGGCACACCCCACATGCTGTGGTTCAATTAAATCTGCTTCCTGCACGGCCCACTCTTAACAGTTAGCTCAATATTGCAGAGCTGGAAGAAACGAAAGCAAAGGAGGACTAGATGTGGGGGTCTGAAGTCCTTCGTGGCAGTTGCCTCCTTAACCTGGAGAACTCTTGATCTGAAAATAGAAAACTGCTACCAAGGGCACTTGGCAGGCAAGGAGACCAGCCTCATTTATGAAGTTTGTCTGACTTTTTGCTTTTCTTTCTTCTAAAGGTTGAGCCAGTTATCTTGTAGTGGTTCCAGATCAAGCCTTTGAAAAAGAGAAGGAACTGGAATCTCCCTCCTCCGTGATGCTAAAGATTCTTCCCTCACTAAGAACTACCTTCAAACAGAGCATCAACTTAATTAAGTGCTTATTCTTTAAGGGTTAATTTCAGTATGATTTATTATTAAACAACTAGAGAAGGCATCGGTGCTCTACTCCACTCTCTCTAAATTAATTAGAATTAATTAAAAATCTACTAATGTGATTGGAAGGCTCAATACAGTTAAGATATCAGTTCTTCCCAAATTGCTATATAGATTCAACACAGTCCCAATAAAAATCCCAGCAGGACTTTTTGTAAAAATCAACAAGCTGATTCTGAATTTTTGTATGAAAAGATAAAGGAACTAAAATATCTAAAACAATTCTGAAAAAGAATAACAAAGTGGCAAAGGCAATTCCATGAAGAAAGGACAGTCTTTTCAACAAATCGTGCTGAAACAATTGGATATCCATATGCAAAAAAATGAATCTCTACCCATACCTCACACCATATACAAAAATTAACTCAAAATGGATCACAGACCTAAAGGTATACCTAAAGATATAAAATTGCTACAAGAAAATATAGGAAAAAATATTTGTGACCTCATTCATTGAAAAAAGGATAAATTGAACTTCAAAATTAAGAACCTCTGCTCTTCAAAAGACACTGTTAACAGAATAAAAAAACAAATCAGACTAGAAGATCACATATCAGATAAAAAACTTGTGTCCAAAATATATAAAGAACTCTCATAACTCAATAGTAAGGAAACAACCCAATTTTTTAAAATAAGCAAAAGATTTGAACAGACACTTTATTACATATAAAGATGGCAAACAATCACATTAATAGATGCTCAACATCATTAGTCATTAGGGAAATGCAAATGAAATCCACAATGAAATATCACTACACACCTATCAGAATGACTGAAATTTTAAAAACCTGACAATATTAAGTGCTAAGGAGAATACACAGCAACTATAACTCTTTTGGGAATGCAAAATGCTATAACTATTCTGGAAAATGGTTTGGCAGTTTCTTTTAAAGTTAAGTATATATATACCTAGGACCCAGTCATCCCATTCCTAGTGTTTACCCAAGAGAAATGAAACCTATGTTCACACAAAAACCTGTATGCAATATTTATAGCAGCTTTATTTGTAAATGCCAAAAACTGTAAATGACCCAAACGTACCTCAACTAGAGAATAGATGAACTATGGTATATCCAAACAATGGAATATTAGTCAGCAACGAAAAGGAACAAATTATTGATATATGCAACAACATGGATGAATCTCAAATGAATTATGCTAAGTGAAAGGCGCCAGATTCCAAAGGGTACATACTGTGTGATTCCATTTATATGACACTCTGGAAGACGCAAAATTATTGGGACAGACATAAGAGCAGTGGTTGCCAGGGGTAAGAGAGGGGTGCAGGACTGACTACAAAGGGACACAGGAGAATTTTTTGGTGTGATGAAACTGTTCCGTATCTTAATTATAGTGGCAGTTATACAACTGTATTTGTCAAGACTCACAGAACTATACACAAAAAGGGTAAATTTTACTGTATCTAAATGATAACTTTTTTTAAAAGCTCCAAATGGAAACTGTAAAAAACAAAACTACTATGAAAATGACCATGAAGTTTCTGCATGCAGGAAGAGAAATCTTTTAAACAGGACCATTAAAAATAAGGTCTACAATGTCACACACATATGCACACGTTCTCTTTGCCACCCCCTACCCTCCGACAGGTCTAGCAAAGGGCACTGCAAAAGAAACAATCACATCCCCCATTCTTACCTGAACCGTAGACGGTCTCAGGATCGAAAGGAGGCACTAATGACACCCCATGAAGGACCTAGTACATGCAAGCTATAGAGAGCGGGGCGGGGGGGGGGGGCGGCACAGGAGTTCCTTCAAACTGCAGTGGGAATTGCATTGCCCCTCTTTGCTCTTCCTTAGACAGAGGTTGTCACAAATTCTCCAGCAATGCCCACTCACCTCTGTCGTGACTGCATTTACATCGGCCTGGCTGGATCTCAGTCCTGCAGCACTCACTCCCTCATGGAGGAAAGTGAATTTTGCAGAGGCAATGAAAGTAGGCCAAGGCGACAGAGCACTCTAGTTACCGGGTGGCAGCCAATCACGGGCCCCTCCCCAGGAGTGTCTCGCTCTGAGGTTAGGACTCAAAGCGGAGTCTGTGCCGTCAGCCTGAACCCAAAGGGACTGACTTGTTTGGCTTGTTTTTCCACCAGGCTAACTTGAGGGCTTATGATTTGAGACCCCAAATCAATCTGCCACAATGCTGGCATTCTCTCCTTCCACGGTTCTCTCCTAGGCTGACCTAACCTTTTCCTTGCTCCATGTGCTGAAAGGTGGCAAGCCAACTCCAACCCCGGGTATTGAAAATGAAAGGTCATAATATACCTGCCACCCCAGATTACCAGGAAACTAAACTTTCCTATCCCAAGAACATCACCACCTCCTTCCACCCAGGATCACAAACTTTAAAAATCCTTTTAGAGTTGTTTCTGTTGGGGGGGGGGGGTGTACCTTTTGTTTTTCCGTCCACTGACACCAGCTTCTTTGTTTCTGCTGTTAACAATAGCTCATAAGGATGCTCATCCTCTTCCCTGGCTGCACTCCCCTGAATCCAGGGTCTCATGGCCAAGACCTAAGAGAGAAAAATACCACAGTACTTCTTGTGTGGTGGCTAATACCAAGACAGGTTATGTTGAGCAAATTAGAGATTATTGGCTCTTTTCTCATCTGAGAGGAAGAGAGGAGGGGAAGAGAAGGTAAATTATTCAAGTGTCACATAGAATCACAACTGCTTTTCTGGATATGCACCTGTACCTCAAATCTCAAAGGCCTTTGATTAAAACACTCCCCCTTCCTTACGTCATTTTATTCTTCAAAAAGCCATAAATAAAATCCATGATTCTCCCTTCTCTTGCTTCTGTCATCTCCACAGTGTTCTGCAAGATCTCTTTTCCGTGGATAGTATCTCCCAAGCGGTTTCTAGCCATGGTGCATCATAAAGCTGTGCACGTTTCTTTCCTAATATGCACACATCCCACCCCAAGGCTGGAATCCTTCCCCCCTTCTCAAGAGGGAATCAAAATGACTTCTGACTGACCCTGAATGACTGATAGCTACTAGAAACAAAGTGCTCTGTAAGTCCTTCTCTATTTCTGTGCGCCTTTCTTCCCAGGTCCTGGGGTTATTAAGAATTTCCCAAAATCCAACTTCCTACCACATTTATGACAATATAATTTCAAATTAATTCCACCAATCTCTGTTCTGAAAGGAGGCAAGTGACTAGGCAGCATGAATTTCAGTGGAGAAAAAGCAGCTCTGTCTACTAAGAAATCCCTAACCCAGGCAGCCAAGTGTCTCGGATGAAATAACTGGACCAGAGCTGGCTCCTACACCTGCCAACTGGCTTTAGTCAGCTGAGGGCCTGGTGGCCACCCATAGGCATGGCATGGTACCAGATTAGCCACATTTTTTCTCGAACCAAGCCAGAAACACCACAATTAATGCTATAGTCGCACTGAAAGAGAGAATGGAGTTCCTTGCTTTAGAGGATAGTTCTGGCTTACCCGCTCTAAGAATGCAATGTGTTTCACAGGCAAATCAAGAGTGATCATATATGAGCTATTAGGAGAGGAAACCAAAGCACAAAATCTCTCTTGAGCAGTTTTGGCTGGGAACAAGAGGGTGAGGGGGAATTCCCAAGTCCACCTAACAAATAACAGTACCCTACAAATGCGATTCTTGGGCACACACAGAAACCTCCTCCTTCACTGACACGTCCCACAGCTCACTGGAAACGAATCAGGTTTGTGATTCATCAGGGTTTTGCTTCTTGGAGACATAGCTCACCATGTTATGGCCTAATGAGACAGCAAGGATTCAAACTAAATGAGAGGCTGCAGCTCCTGCTTGTTAACAAGGCTGCCACTCCAAAGGGAGAATGATAGCCTCTTTCCAAAATTCTGCTAAACACAGCAGGAACCTCCACTTACTGAAAGCCACCTGGAAGCTCAAAGCTATTTCATTACAATGAGCCATTTGCCTGTATTACTTATTCCTTTGCCTCTTCACAGGAACACAATTAAGAGAACAAAGAGGGACCATTAAGCAGTTCAGACAGTGTCAACTTAATACCCAGGCTTTACAGACAAGAATTGGTGTTCTGCAGGATTACACACCCATAGCTATCACTTAGGCAGAGCCCTGGAAATCTGATTCTGTGAGTGTTCTGCACGCAGCAAGAGCTCTCATATAGCTCCAGGCATGCTTCTCTGAGAGGTATTTGACAGCCTGGATGCCCGCCTATAATACCCTTTCTTCTCAAGCAGGACAGGGCTGATGACTTCCATCTGGAAAATCAGGCCCACTGGACCTGTGTTCACTCCGTACCTGGCACTTGTGCACGACAACCAGAAGTAGAGAACCAGCAAATGTCAGAGCTGGAAGGGACTGGAACCATTACGGTCACAGCTAGGGAGCACCTGGTTCCAGCTCTTTTATTTTGCCGATGACAAAACTCAGTTCCCAGAGAGGTCTAGGGACTTGCCCAAGGTTACACAGAGAGCTCCCAGCAGAGCCAGAGCCATAAAATTCACTTCCCCTGATTCTGGACCAAGCTGGCCTCATTTTTTCTCCATCTAATCTGGAACTCTTTCTCTCCTTCTCTCCTTTCAGTCCTTCAGGGGACTGTCTAATGACAGTCCCCTGCTCATATCCAGACAACTCATAGGATGATCTTTTCCTCTTAGTCCTGGCCTCTGCCAGCTATGGGATTAAAATCTCATAATAAAGCAATAAACTGCTTTTCTTCAAGCCTTCCTAGCTCCCATTCAAGAAGCCCTGCATCACAGTGAATATGGCAGTAACTGATTTTCAACCCAGAAAGGATTCTGCTCTTTACTAAATTACTTCTTAATCTTTTTTTCCCCTTTCTTCCTGGACTGGCAATAAATCAAAGCCAAAAAAAACATATTCTCTGCTATATGGAAAACAACATTTTTGCTGCAGAGGAAAGCTACTACCAGTCACCACCTAACTGTGACCAATGGAATGGCCAGTGGGGTGTGGGCAGCTTTCTGGGAAGAGATACCATAGCAGCTGCAACTTCCCAAGAACGTTTAGCACATTTGAGCATAGAGAAGACCACTGTCAGTCCGATGCAGCTGGTAGCCCATTTGGCGGGGCAAAAACATCTAAATGTGTGTGCATGCACATGCGTGTGCATGTGTTTAATTTCTTTAAGCCAGTTTCATGATCTGGTCCTTACTCTGATAAGCTCTCCTGGAGCCAGGTATACTTAACTTCCCTTAAAAGCTTCTATGGGTCATCCGACAATGACAAGCCTCAGGAATAGGATACAAACACTGGGGCAGATAGCTTGCCAAATACAAAAGTCTAAACTTTGATGAAGCCAATGCCTCCTAGGATATGAGGGTTAGGGTACTAAAGCTTTGAGAGTATAAGAAATAAAGCTGGTCGGGCCGGCCCCGTGGCTTAGCGGTTAAGTGCACGCGCTCCGCTGCTGGTGGCCCGGGTTTGGATCCCAGGCGCGCACCGACACACAGCTTCCCCGGCCATGCTGAGGCCGCGTCCCACATACAGCAACTAGAAGGATGCACAGCTATGACATACAACTATCTACTGGGGCTTTGGGGGCAAAAAAATAAATAAATAAAAATTATTAAAAGTCAGTGCCTTTAAAAACAAAAAAAGAAATAAAGCTGGTGAAGATTAGAGTCTAAAAAAAGGGTCCACCTTTGGAGAAGACCTAACAGCAAACAGAGTCTGCCTTGACCATTAAAAGGATAAGACCCAGACCATATCACCTCTATATTCATGTACTTATAATTAACACTAAGTAAGCAAAGCCAGAATTCCCATGGTCTTCCAAATACTGACTATGATGGTCCAACTGACCCGGAATTCCAGAAGCAAGTCCTAGAAGACATATCTCAGACAGAGTCTCCCATCCAGGAGAGTAACATGGAGATTCCTCCTCCTAAGTCTTGACACTGTGTTATTGCCAACTGTATGCTCTAGAAAGTTTTGGGAGACTAAAAAGTTCTCGTTGTCCAATATTTCTTTAAGAGCCTTGCCCTTATCCTTGGGCATTAGGAATTTCAATCCCAGTTCTTATTAAACAGGTGGCATGAGGCATTTACAGAGATCCAGCCCCAACTGAATATGCTCCATATTACTAGGTCTCTCCTTGTAAAAAGGGGGTAATGAAGCAAGCCTCTATATAAAAACGTGTAGGAACTTAATACACTCCCTTGTATCTGCTAGCAATGTATTACGACCCTGGAGGCTATAATTCTGGAAACCCTTAGTTAAGACATGATAAGCATTTTGTAATCAAGGAATAGAAGGGAATAAGGACAGAATTTTTACCTACCATAGAAATCGTTCCCTATCTCCAACACTGACTTCTACATTCTTAAAAGGTCTTCCTTGTATTCACACATTTTGTTAACCTAAAGCCATCATTAGGGTTCCATGAGTTTATATTAACTAAGAGAACCTGTCTCACTGGATGGTCCATGGCAATACTGTAAAAAACTTAACTTTGATTTCTAGGGATAAAGTAATGAGACTTAACTGACTAGTTTATATTAGCTGATTTGTAAATTAAAGAACAATAGGGCATTGAATGAGCCACAAAATAACTATTGAAATTACATAATACTTTGAATAAATACTCAATAAACATACTCTCTGAATGGTAGGAAGTGTTAAAGGAGCATTTTGAAGATGAAAGATCAAGGAAAATATGATTTTCTTCATATACCTAAGTGAGAAGATTGAACTATTTGCTCCATGATATTTCTTTTTTTTTAAAATGGACTATTCTTTTCAAATAACCTTCTTTGATTCTCCCCACCCCTATGACTCCTATTTCTCTTCTAATTGAGTCTTCATGACATTTTCCGTGTTTGTCCTGGTGCAGATTCTTCATGTGCAATGAAGAGAGAAAATGTAAAAAGAGAAGTAAGACATTTGGGGCAAATCACCAAAGCTTGCTGTGACAGTCTAGAGAACAGTGACTAGGGGGATACTGTACACTTTGTATCAAGACAACACAGGTACAAAAGCAAAAACTAAGTGTTTAGCCAACTGGAACCAGCAGAAAATGTGCTCATTTTACTTTCCATGTGGCAAGGTAGATCAACAATTGGCCTGTCTGCTAGAGAGCTTTATTAAAATTCTTTGCTTAGTACTTTTGAGTGAGTTTGAAAGGTCTTGTTCCAGATTACTGATATACGCAATACAAATTTACTAATCCCCAAAGAGGCGATAAGAAAATGAGAAAGCAAAGTACTCTTTAAGCACATATTGATGAACTTTTCAAAATATCATATTTCGGTGATGGGAATAAACCCTCAACCCTCTACCTCAGAAGCTGTCAAGGGAAAATACTTCTTATCTACGCGGTCTTCCTCCTCTTCATCAGGTGGTGGCTTTGCTGGAGGTGGTGGACGTTCCCTCTGCAGAAGTGGAAAAATATATATTTCACTATCTCTTTTTTCAAGTATCTACCTTTTCGGTTTACTCTTACCTTAGCTCTTGGAAATGAAAAAGAATAATGTAAAGAACTCCCCTGAGAGGCTAAACTCAAGGTTTAATATCTGAACAGATGGAGAACCCTGCACACAACTCAACTAGCATGCTCCTTGCTTTTTGATGTTTGTAGCACATTACAAACACCTCTTTCCTATCCTTGACCAAGTGAGAAATATCAGCACTGAAAACACATAACTGCCTTGTCGGAAAATGTCCTTCACAATACCGATACATAAAACTCTACTACATATAGGAAAACCAGCGGCTCAACTTTCAGTCTACTCTATAAAGAGGAAACAGTAAATCAAAAGAATCAACTTGTCAAAGAGTTTTAATAAACCAAAGTTATTAAGGAAGTAATGAGGAAAGTAACCAAGGACAAAAACATCAATTCCTGCTCAAACTTTAATGCTATCCCCATTTATTAGCAAAAGCTCAGAACCAATCTCTTATCCTTCAACAATTATTATTATATATCATTAGCATATGAAAATCCTATTTCATCTCAGCCCTCTAAAAAGGAATATTTGTCAGTTATCTGCCCTAGAGCAGGAGTTGGCAAGCTTTTTCTTAAAGGGCCATACAGTAAATATTTTAGGCTTTGCAGTTAACTCTGCTATTGTGGTACAAAAGTAGCCACAGATAATATGTAAATGAGTGAGTGTGGCTGTGTTCCAATAAAACTTTATTCATAAAAATGGGCAGCTGTTTGTGGGCCATAGTTTGCCAACCCCTGCCCTAGAGCAAGAAACTCACTGAAGAGGGAGTTCATTAGATCATGGGTAGATCATTTCAGGAACACACAGAATGACCTTTGGTGAAAGAAAGCTGAAGAGAGGTTTGCCATTGTACCTGCAGTACCTTCAGCGTTGTTTCTATTCTGAAGTCCTATTCGTGCTTGATAATCAATGCTCCCACAGGGAAGAGAGTGGGAACCTGAAACAGGAGTTTGCTTGCAGGCTTATGCCCTGATTTGTAGGTTAGTTCACTGTGTTGCTAGAATAGGAGTATTTATTTATTTATTTTTATAATTTTTTTTTATTTTTTCCCCAAAGCCCCAGTAGACAGTTGTATGGCCATAGCTGCACATCCTTCTAGTTGCTGTATGTGGGACGCGGCCTCAGCATGGCTGGAGAAGCGGTGCGTCAGTGCGCGCCCAGGATCGAACCCGGGCCGCCAGCAGCGGATCGCGCACACTTAACCGCTAAGCCACGGGGCCGGCCCTAGAATAAGAGTATTTAAAAAAAGTCAGGGCAGAGGTGAATGCTGAATTACGTGAAAGCCTCAGAGATATGTGCAAGGAAAGATATTTCTCATGTGTTAGGAGCTGCCAGGGTTAATTAGCATTTGACATCCATGATCTCTCTATCAAAACATGCTTCACTGGGCCGGCCCTGTGGCTTGGTGGTTAAGTGCGCGCGCTGCGATGCTGGTGGCCCGGGTTCGGATCCCGGGTGCGCATCGAGGCACCACTTCTCCGTTCATCCTGAGGCCGAGTCCCACATACAGCAACTAGAAGGATGTGCAGCTACGATGTACAACTACCCACTGGGGCTTTGGGGGGAAAAAGTAAAATAAATAAAATCTTTAAAACATGCTTCACTGTTGGGTATTATATCTTGATAAACTGGTCATTCCCACAGTCCCTGGAACCAGATGGATGCCCAATGGCAACAACTTCAAAACAGGTTTGAATGTCCAAGCCAAACAAGCTGTTTAGATCAGATTTCTCACTCAGTCCCACTGTGCCCACCCTTCTTTGCTCTAGAAGTGCAGGAACAAGCCTGGTCCCAGTGCACCTTGAAAGGAAGAGAAGAGCAAAACGAGCAGGCCCATAATCTACACCAGTTATCCGACCCTGGGACACAAACAGCTGAGGAAAAACAAAATAAAACACAACAACAAGGACCCATCCTAGACAACTTCCCAAGGCTGAAGGAGCCTAGAAAGAACAATATGAAACCTTGTGTGGAAGAAGCGATCAACAGGGACACTGGAAAGAAAGAGAAGCAAAGCACGAGCCTCTTTTTTCTAACATGAAATTTTGGCCAGGGGCCTGGAAGTAGAGCTGATTTATATGTACCACCCGCTGTGTTTACAAGATGTAGAACAGTCCCTTGGCCAGTTTATTACCAAGGGCCAAGAAGGTAGCACTGCCACAACATACCCAAGTAAAAATGGCAAAGCATGCACCCCCAGATGCATCAGTTTCTACTTAGCAGGACCATAGGAGGCTAGATTCCTGGAGTGGGATGGAACAAAGAGACTGTAAATCAGTGGCTAAGCCCCACAGGAACTTGGTTATACAAAGCTTACTTCAGCAACCCTTCGCTCTTCTTGCAAAGCCTCCAGCTCCCTCTAATGGGCATCACCTGTAAGTACCACTTAAAGCAAACCCTTCCTCCACAGGTGGATTGGCTTAATTCATTCATACCTAACAGTGAAAGAAGTGAATAACTAGCTGTGTCTACAGAGCACTATGCTAGTGGTGCTCGGCATATGTACTTGCTTTCACCACTCACAAGGAGTTTTATCACAGTCCTTGCTATCACCCACTCTGGTGGGCTACCACAAGACTGGCAGGCCTTTCCAAACTCCAAGCTGAAACGCAGGGATGATTCCAGGGGAAGGAGCCTACCAAAAAAGAACACCAAGGAACATCAGGCTATTCTCAGGACACACCTGAAAAGCCCAAAGATCACCTAGCAGTCAAAGGATTATCAAAATGGTCATATGCCAGATTCAGACCAAAGGGAAAGGCCAGCCTCTCCAACAGGAAGAAATAATACACACCTGAAAATATGCCTCAACGTGGGATTATCCCTGGGATCCTGTTAGAGCAATGGCCACTTTAAAGTGCAGTGCTCAAAACCTCAAATTACTGTGCCTGGCAATGCAGGAGGAAGGTCAATGAGACCACTGATTCAGGCTTAGGCTCACAGTAAAACCCCGGGGGAGAAAAAGGAGGTGATGAGCCTGAAGAACAATGAATAGGCTGGAAGTAGAAGCAAGTACTAGAGAAAGAAGCAGTAAGATGGGAAGGTGGACCTTGAGAAGGAAAGATTCAGGGTTGTCCTCAATGGCTGGAGAGGTTAGAACTGGGAAAAATAGGAATGCCACACACTAACACATACGATGTCTGATTAAGCCTTGCTACAACTCTCCTGAATACAGAATCTGTCCAAATCCAAACAGATAATTCTTTGAGGGCAAACGGAAGGTGGGCATACACTCAGGGCAGACAGGAACTTATTTCACGGAGCTCTTGCACCATCGGAACCACACTCCAGAGAGAAAACAAACAATATATAGCAAAGACCCAAAGACAGAAGCAGCACTAAGGCTAAATAGAAATCAAATGCTTTAATTTGCTCTAAGGCCAAAAAGTAATAGAAGGATGCAAACAGGTTATACTGAAATCAGAAAAACCAAAATTATACCTTAAGATGATCTGTATAATTTAACCACACTGAGTGAGAGAGAGAAGCAGCAGACCCCCAGGAGAAGAGGGGGAGTAGGAGCCAGGCCTCTGAAATGCGAGCTGGCACCAGGCGCCTCGCTTCCTCTCCCCAGCGCCCCACCGTGCACAGGCTGACAGCACGACCGCCAGGCGACTGAGGGCCCAGGCCACATACCGGCCTCACTCCAGCAGCTTTCACTCCTGCGGCCTCGGCCTCCCTGTTCACCGAGTCCCGGTCAGACGATCGCCCACTGGCCATGCTGTCCAGTGAATGGCAGGAGACAGCATTGTACAGCGCCTCGTAGGGACCCTCCTCTTCAGCGTTTGTGTCAAAATCGATGATCAGTTCAGTCACTGCTTTCTCCACGTCCCCTGAAGAGGAGGTGAGAAGAAAGGCAGCAATGAAAGGGGAATGATCTGGGATTTCCATCCACTGCAACAACCCAAAGGCCCTTCAGCAACCTGAACTTGACAAATGCTAACCCAGAGCAGGAAAATAAAAGACTACTTTGCTCCATGGACAGGAATAAATATAGAGAGCTTCAGCTTCTCTTTATACCTTGAGAAATGAACATATTTTTCTCTGATTCATATGGAAAAACCTTGACATCTATGAGGAATACCTCCCAGGACCTTTATAAATTCCCAAACATCTCAATACCATGATAGCATAAACTTAAACCACAAAATGTCACCGAGTATAACTGAAAAACTTAAGTAATCTTTTAAATTCTTAAAAAGAACCTCCATGTGCTCAAGTAAAATAGAGGAGAGCAAAACTTTTCTGAGATGGAGGCGCTGTGCAGCTAGACTCACCCACCGGCTAACTATGAACCTATGAGTACCTGGCATCCAAATTTCTGAACTGCAACATTACCATCTGTTACAGACCAAGGATCTCTGGGTCACTTGCAAATAGTCAAAACTGTAACTGTAAAAGCCTTGAAAGCGAAGAGCTCGGTGAACTACTAATCCCATCCCTAGTAGATTATGAGGTCAAGAAAAAAAGCGCAACAGGAAAGGGAGACAAGGACTCACAGAAGAGACAGGCTGAGCACCCCTTAACTCTTGTACCTCTACACTCCTCTGAAAAATCCCGTTCCCTTTTTAGTGTCTGGCTTTGTTCTGTTGCTCTAGCCTTCTTTATTGTGATTTGTATGTGGGGAAGACGTCAGTTAGTATTTTGTCTTTCCCATTCATCACATCTAGGACCCAAAAGGCTGCTCAATAAATCTGAAAAGGTGGATCCTGGCTAATGATGGAGAGGCTGGACTGCCTAGGCTAGCACCCAGACCACATCTGTTGGCTAAATGATATATTACCGAAATCTGCCACATACACATCTACCAACCAGATGACACTCATTAAATATTTACTGTGGGCCAACTATGCTCAAGGTACTATAGTGTGTGTTAGAAAACAAGGTTTCACTGAGATTTTAATTCACCTTGAGATCATCCTGCCTATTACATATCCCAGCATAGATCTCACAGAGCCGACTGTAAAAGGAGAGAATAAAATAAAGCAGGAAAGAAGAGATCCACAGTCAAAGGCCTAAGGTATGTCCAATAAGCCTACATATAGGAGTTGGAAATAAGTGAATTTGAATATGAATTTAAGTAGTCCCAATCCCCTGAAATTATTATTTAAATTAAGATTTTCCATTCCACCAAAGAATGTTCAACTCTTCACGCTGAGAGCCCCTTTGCCGGCAGAGAAGAGCCACCTTACCCTGAGGCTTCTGTGATATGGAGTCCATGTTGGAGATCAGAGGTGGCTGGGGTGTGGGGGTTTTATCTACCTCTTTTGCACTTCTTTTTCCAGTCATGTGATCTACATAAAAAGACAAAAAAGCTGCACCAAACACAAATGCCTTGGGTTGGCCAGTGTGTCCCCTGGTTGCCCCAACAGGGAGATGGACTGATACCTTCAATAAGTGCTGCTATCTGCTGGCTCTTTTGAGAAGGCAGTTCCCGGACAGTGTCTAGGGCAGTCAGTCCACGGTTATCTTTTATGTTGACATCAATTCCTAGAAAGGCAGACCAGGTGGACCAAGGGAGTGAGCATTGTCAAGCTAGCCTCAAAGAGGGTCAAATTCCAGGACACCTAATACTCCCAGCAGCATAACCAACATTTTTCATCCAAAGCCACTTAATCCAGCTATTCAAGAACAATTCGTAACCTTGCAGTCAACCAGTGGAGATACACATACATTGGGTTCAAATGCAGCTAGCAAAAATCCCCCAGGAAACAACCCCGACCCTGGCATGCTGTGTAAACAAGAGCACTGCCGACCTCTCACCTGCAGCCAGCAGGATTTGCACCACATCGGTCTTGCCAAACAAAGCAGCCTCATGCAAAGCACTGCCCTTCTCCGTCTGGAAAGCAAACGAGAGCTCAGAGCAGGATGTCGTCAGCACAGTGACCCAGGTTTGGCGTGGCTTCACACGACAAACGGGACATAAAGAAGGGACAGGAAAATAAAATAAACCACGCAAAATCCTCTGTCATTATCTTTCCTACTTTTCTTGCCTGGATTCCCAAATCACGATCGTGGCCTGTACATCAAGGATGTTTGATGTGCCACCAGCAGGCCGCACATGAATAACTGTACAGTGACTCTTGGAGCCACCTATTGGTGAAACTCCTCAAAACTCTACCTTCCTAGGGGGAAGGAATAATGAGAAGAAAAGTACAAGGGGAAAAAACACCTTAATTTCAAATGTGGTTTGGTCAATGCAAAGCCTAACAAATGGTCACTTATCTGAATGGAGAAAGCTAACAATAAAGGGAAATGCTAAGTCTCCTGTCAGCGAGATCACGTTGATGGGACTTTGGAGGTGCTAAATGGTGGCAGCGGGAACACATGTATAGGAAAATAATGAAACTTTTCTAATTTCGACATAGCCTATAAGCACACCTTTTCAGGGTATAATGACTATATATTACCCCTGAAAAGAAACAAAAAATAACAGACTTACTTGAGGAGTTTGTCTCTAAAGTTTCACATTAAAATGAGTCAACAAAGGGAAGCATCTGACACGCGATATGAAACGTGCTAAATAAGAACACAGCCCAGCAGCATGGTACTTGTGCCTTTTCCAAATGACTAAGTCCCTTGAGCCAGGGAGGTATATCTGCCCCACTACCTGGTAGTTGCTATCCATGCCAGCATCCAGGAGGACCTGGACCACGGCTTTGTGGCCGTTCCTTGCTGCCAAGTGCAGAGGGGTGTGCTTCTTAGTGTTGCAGCTCAAGAGGTTGGGGTGTGCATTGAGGAGCATCTTCACCACCTCCAGTCTCCCGTACAGCGCAGCCAGGTCCAGAGGTGTCTCAAATTTGTTGTTGCGCATGGTGGGGTCTGTTAGCTCCTCTAAGAGGACCTTCACCACCTCCGTGTGGCCGTACTGTGCGGCGCAATGCAGAGCCGTCTCATTGTCGTTGTTCTAAGGAGTTAACAAGCAGATCACATCAGATGGGTGACTGGCAGACTGGCAGACTGGCATATGACTGTGATAATCACACGTAAAACCATTGAAATTTAAATGAGAAAAATAGCAGCAATACTTGGAGACTAACAGAAGTCAGTCAGAATCCAGACCTGCTCCCCCACAACCAAGCCTGACTGCTCCATGAGCCACATCTTGCCCCCATTACTGCAAGAGGGGAGCAGTCACCTCCTCAATGTTTGCAGTCTCCTGTGTGTCGTGAAGGAAGTGTCTCCAGATTGCAAGGAGAGTGAACTAGGTAATGTGGCAGCCCTTGGGTAGAAGCCCCGGCACAGATAAACGCCAATAATATCACTGCCATTGATTCATTTTAAACTTCAACTGGTTTTACAATTTATATTTAGTCAACCCTGTGGTTCTGATTCTGGATTTGTTGACTATCTGTTGCCTTACACACAAACCTTTTTGAAAGAGTTTGTCATCTGCATAGCTTCTTGCATGCAAATCAATCAGCCAACAACGAAAGTAACAGAGCAGAGCACCAAAACTCTCCAGATATCAGCCAACAGCCATTTCCAAGGGAGGGAGGCACTTGAGCTACATGGGATCCTGATGCTGCCCTGTGCCCACTCCAGGAGCCTGCACCAATCAAAGCATGCAGAATCTACAGCACAGGGAAGTGTTTCTTATGTCAGAAAGATTCCATCAGACACTGGAATGTTTCGTGCAAGAGGTGCAAAATATTCAAAATTGTAACACTGCCATCAATTCAAATTCACAACCCCATGGTCCTTTAATGCCAATTTTGTTTCAAACTAAAGGTAGAACCTGGGATAAAATAGGAGAAGTTTGTACTTTATCAACTGTCAGAAGCAAAATGTTAATCATTCCAATTATGCTCTTTCTTTTACTACTACTGACAATGTATAATTAGAGCAGGAATAAATTAATTTCCATGACCTCTCCTTTTTTAGAAGTACTAATGAAAAGAATTCTCCCACAAGATTTTGAGATTCCTGAATTTATTCAGGAGGCTTCTGCCACTTTGGGGAAAAAAAGCTTACAGGGGAGTGTGTCTACCAAGTCAATATTGTGCACCTTTAGTGATCAAAAGGTAAAAATTAAACATTTCCACAATTGCTTTAATTCTATTAATGACATTAAAAATAACAGAGTTACCCAAACATGCATGCAATTCCATCTGCTTTTGACCTGGCATTTGACTGCATCATTTTTTCCAGCTACACCAAGTGTACCAGAAAGATCCAGAGCTGCTGGGAGCCAGGACCCAAAAGGCCAGAATGATAGCAAAGAAAATTTTAAAAATGAAATAAGGACAGAAACGGTAGTACAGCAGGAGCCACATGCAAAGACAAATGCACACAGATAAACAGAGGAAGCAGTACTGAGCTCAAACTCAGCTCAAGGAGAGCAGCTACTGAGACAGTGCAGAAAGCCTTCACTGGCCACAGAACACAGCCAGTAAGCAATGGCCTCCTGTGATACAACTGGAACCCAGGGACGAATTCTGTGTCAACCTAAAAGTCTGGAGGGAAGGGGAAACTCTGGGCAGAAAGCAAACTCCTGGGGTTCCTCTGCCAAACAAACCATTTAGGGCGCCCATTTGGAAAGCCCTTTTCCTGTTAAGCTATGGCATGAGTTCCCTGAGCAAACATAGAGCTGTCACTTCACTTTCTCATGATGAAAAGACGGCTACATCAACAAAAACTCACAGGAGCTTTCTGTAGAGTGATCCTGGGGCAGAGTGGTAACGCAAAGAAGTGTAAGAGGATTCTCAGGGTTTTACATCTCAAGATTAGCATGACAGCAAGGGCCAAAAAAGTTAGCTTATTCTTATTAAAACTCCAATCCAGAAAAACTTGTTTATTCTAAAGCAGATACTGCTGTCTCTTTTATACCCAAGTTGTCTCCCAACAACCAGAATAATCTGTCCTTGATTTCATAAAAAGTATGCCATTAGGGCCTGAAGTACTGTAAAACTCTAAATTATCCAACAGGAAAAAAAAAGTCTTCGCTATTTGATTTTTTGCCAGAAGTAAGGCAGCTACCACAAAGCTGCCTTGCTAAAGGCAAGGTCTTGATCACTACCAGGCAAATTTCCTGCCTATGTTAAAAATGGCCTAACCACATCTCTGCAGAATGTTACGTTTATAATCCCAGTGTAGGAAGCATCTTACTTATGTTTCAGTCTTGCCAGACATGGTCTGGTAACTATAATACTCCTGAGTTTACATCTGTGGTGACCACATCTCTCGACTATTGAACAGAGGCCATCACAGTGAGCTCTTACTACCATTTCCCCTCTGAGCCTGACAACTATTAGAGCAGGAAGTCACTAATTGTTGATTCATGGACCCACAAGAAAGGGAGGGATTCCAAGCAGAACACAGATTCCTAACCACCCGGAATCCTCTTTCACACCTTCCAAATCACACCATAGGTGCTCACAACACCTCAAGAGTTCCCAGAATCATATTACTATGAACCAGGACTGAGGAAGGAGACTGAGAGGAAACACTCCAATTTTCCCCAAAGTCTTTGCACAAACTCTCCATTCCTGCCCATCTTGAGACCCACTTTCATTTTTCCTTGCTATGGTCAGTACGTCGAAGAAAAAAAAGATCCCTACACCCTTTATATCTAGTGATCCCATTCAATGTATAAACCCATTATATTTATACATAAACTACAAGCAGCAGAAAGCCATACAGAAACATTTCCATAACCTTTCTCATCTTGAAACTATTCAAAACAATCACTTCCCAGTGCTTGCTTAGATTATAGCCCAACTGTACTCTTGTCCATTGTTGACAGATACTTAAGTTAGGGACACCCGGGCTACAGCTCTCTGTAGCAACAATGGTATAGGTTCTAGAAACATACCAAAATTGGAACAAAAGGACAAACTGGGTCTACTGAAATTTAGAAGACACATGAGAACCAAGTCCACCATGTGGAAGAAGAATTAGACTCACTCTGTAATGCTCTGGAAGGCAGAACTCTGACCAATAGATGGAAGGCTTAGGGAGACATATGTCAACCAAGCATAAGAAACCAAAATCAGTGCAATCCAAAAAGAGGCTGCCAAGAAGTAATTCTGTTTGTTACTAGGAGAAACAAACAAACCAATAAAATAAGGGGTAAATGGCCCACCTTTCAGGTGAGAGAAGAGGATTCCTGCTCTGTGTAGAAAGTTGGCCTAGATAGTGGTTCTCAAACTGGCTTCATTTTGGAATCACATGGAAGCTTTAAAGTAACTAATACTAAGTCCCACCCCAGACTTGCCAAGGTAGCGCCTCAAGACGGCAAAGCCCAGGAAAACTATTATTAAAAAGTTTACCAATCTAACAGGTACAAACTTAACCAAGCAATCATTCATCATCAACAAGAATGAGACAAACTAACATCATGTGCCTTGTGATGTGATGTACTAAAAAGGAAGGACATAACATCACTCTTGTGGCATTCCTGCCAAAAATGTATAACCTGCATCTAATCATTAGGAAATATCAGACTAACTCAAACTGAGAGACAGTCTACAAAACAACTGGCCCATATTCTTCAAAAACGTCAATATCATGAAAGACTAAGAAAGGCCGAGGCATTGTTCTAGATTATGTATGATCCTGGATTGGATTCTGGACCAGAAAAAAAAAATTGCTCAAAGAACATTATTGAGACAATTGGTGAAATTTGAACATGGATTCTATATTAGATAACAGTATTGAATCAATGTTGAATTTTCTGAATTTGATGATTGTATTGTAGTTATACAAGTGAATGTCCTTGTTCTCAGGAGACACGCTGAAGTATTCAGGGTTAAAGGGTCATCATGTCCATGACTTAATCTCAGATTGTTCATCATCAACTATAACAACAATTACAGAGAGAAAGGGAGAGAAAGAGAAAGCACAAATGTGAACAAAAAGTTAACAATTGGTGAATCTAGGCGAAGAATATAATGCAGTTCATTGCATTACTCTTGCAACTTTTTGTAAGTTGGAAAATTTTTCAAAATAAAAAGTTTTATAAAAGCTTGCTAGGTGATTCTCATGCAACCAGACAAGCTGATCAGCATGTGGCAACAACTGGTCTGGATAACTTCCAGGTCTCTGCCAGCTCTAAAGTGTGAATTATTTTTAAGTGTACAGAAAAATAGATCGACCCTAAAACTAATTTGTCTGTTGCTCATCTTATGATGTTCAGACTTAGTTAAAATTGTTTGAAAAGGGGGTAAGTAAACAGTTTTAATAGTTCCACCTTAGCTAAGGATGACTTACATTTGGACTGGTTTATGCTGATTTGCTGAAAAAGGAAAGGCTCCATACGTCAAAGAGGAAGATGAAAGCTCATGAAAACTACTTCTGCTCCCAGGAAAAGCATCTGAGACTTCTTAATGTCTACAGGTGCCTGACAGGACTTAGCATGCAAATGTACTTTAGCAAAACACTGAGTCAGGATAAAACGTAGGGAGGTGAGAGTCACATCAGCTCAGGGAGAGTCAGCATTGTTAGCAAACCCAAACAGCTTTATCCCTGAATGCTGTTTGCAGAGTCTGGCCCCTGGGAAGTGGGGAGGCAAAGAGAGAAGTATGTTCTTATTCCACTTAGACTAATTTTCTTTTATGTGTGCAAAATCAAGGGATTGAAAAATGCGCTTTCAAGAACCCAAGTCTGACCCTTTAATCAGAGCTTTATAAGCTAACTAAACTAACCACCGAGTGGAAAAACCATTACTTCAAGGTGCCTCCCTCAAAGCAAAACCTTGAATAAACTAATTGAGCAATGTTTCATTAAGCTTCACCCACCAGGAACAAAGAAAAAATCCCAAAATGCTGTTTCAGAAATACCACATCATATATACCTTTTAAAATTAGGATCTCAAATATTACTAGTTACCAGATATTTTTAATTTATGTACATTATCTTATTTAAATTTCAAAGCAAACCAGTAAGGTAAATGGTATACCCCATTTTACAGAGGAGGAAACTGAGGCTCAGAGAAATTAAGTAACTTGTTCAAGTCAACAAAACAAGTAAGTGGCAGCACAGAATTCAAACTCAGGTCTGACTTGAAAGACTGTGACCTGTGACAGTCGTCCAGTTTACCATACTACCTCCAGAAAAAAGAAGAAAACTAAGAGTATCTTCCTATATTTAAGATTAGAAAACAGAATTGAAAGAGCAGGCCAAAATAAAAGTTAATGTGTTCCACTACCTCCAGATCAAACTGCTTCTCTGCTATTAAGGTCCAACAGCTGAAGAAAATCTACCATAGAGCCTGGCTAGGTCCAGCCCATAGGGAGCATCATTTGCTAAATCAGTATTTCTCAAAGAAAACATGAACTATCTGCCTTGCACTTGGAAAAATGCAGAAGTACCTTATGTTTCCCTTCCCTGAGGCAGCTGTATTCAGAGCAAGTCAAAGGTAGCTAATGTGAACAATGGAGTGACTCAACCAAACACCAGATTGTTGCCAAAAAGCAAACCTCATTGGAATGAAACTCAGATCGAAACCAGCAGGTGAGAGCACTAAGGAAAGAGGCTAACACCATCACCCAACCCACAAACTCGGCCTCCTGGTGTGGTGAAGGCCCACGGCAGCGAGGCCAGCAGGGCTGGGCCATTCATCACCAGGCTCTCAGACCATTACTCGCCCTAGCCTCACAGGGAGGGAGACTCAAGGCAAGTGCCCTGCTTGGCCCTGCAACTTCATTTCCTATTTCATAGCCCTTCCAAAGGCCAAGAGTGACCAAGCAGAGAGAGAAGCTAATGGCTGAGGAGAAGGGACTGAGGCTTTAAAGCTCCGCAGAAATGCATAAACTCAAGGAAAAGAGAGGGGAACCATAAGCAACAGCTTTTTTTTTTTTTTTTAATAATTTTTATTTATTTATTTTTCCCCAAAGCCCCAGTAGACAGCTGTATGTCATAGTTGCACATCCTTCTAGTTTAAGCAACAGCTTTTAGGAGTAAAATGGAGTCACTCATGCTCCCTCCCCTACAACTCCACCACAAGTTATTGAAAATCAGATTCCACTTCAAAAGAAATATAGAAATCAGACTAAAAAAATTTTTTTAATCCAAGAAGTACAATTTAATCATTTTCCTATGCTTATTAAAAAGTAAGCTAATTTATTTGACATCTTTCAATTGCATTTTTATTTTTTGAATTTAAATGATTTTAGAAATCACAACAGTAAATTATACATATACTATTGTCCCTTCTACTTCCCCCTTTCGGCCACTTCTCAGCTTTTCAGATATTCCAGGAAAAGCACCCAACCTTTCTAGAATTAGTAGGGGTTTTAAAAACAAAACCAAAACCCACTGAAGCTGCATGTTCCCATTCACATACAAGCCAAAAGCAGATGGGCTGAAGCGGACAACAGTCAGGGTGACGAGGAGGAGCCTGAGTGGACAAGAGTGGAAGCCAGAGAGGACCGAAGAGAAAGTACAGCTTGGAGAAATGATGCAGAGAAATCCTGGCAGCAAAGTACACACCTTGGCATTGATATAAGGGTCAAAAGGGCCGTACTTTTTGAGTTCTTTGATCTCAAGAGCATTCTATAAAAAGGAGAGGAAAAGAAAACGTGATGATAAAATGGATGAAATTTATCAAAGTAAGCACAGCCCAGAGGGGGCCAACACTAGAACAACTCAGTCTGCCCTCAGCGTGCCTCCAAAGGAAGTTAATGGGGAAGAAAACCTCCAGGGCACAGCACTTATCACCCACTCTTATCCAAGCAGCCAACTGGAACCATATTAATGGTTTTGAAATAAATCAGTGCAGTACTTGTAACTACTGCCTAGATCCATTAGGTTCTTCAAGCTACTGCAGACGTCTTGCCCAGCCCCTGCCCCACCCACCTGCCTGCCAGATACTCAAAGCACTGGGCTGGTGTCCCACCTATCAGTGATACTCCAGGCAGGAGGCGGCTGTGAGCAGGACAAGCTAGCACACTCAAGTGGCTCAAAAATCCAAGCAGCTGTGTTCCAAGGCAAAAGTGAGCACAGACAGGATGAGAAATGGTAGCTGAAAATTTCTTAAATGAGAAGGACTTTAATGGGTGACTAGTTTTTTCAACATTGAGGAATATTAGTTAAAAGCAAACTTTCTTATAAATTTCCTCCAGATAACAGAAATTACAATCACTTTAGCCAGGAGGAGTAAAACGGCATTTAGATTCTAAAGAGGCAATTCTAAAGAGACAATTTTCATTCCTAATGTTATAAAACAAACATCCTCATTGATGATTTTAAATGTCTGTTGCTCACCTACCCAGAAAATATAGCCCAAAAGGGGAAGGGGAAGCTGATTAACAGCCATACACACACAATCTCCAAATTGAGAGATTTGGGAGCACTGCTTTATTTTTCTTATACCTTAGAGTGAAGCTGCTTTCTCTGAATCAAAGTCATGCTCTTAATAGCTCACTGAGAATGTGCACGGTCTTGTTGACAGATGGACTTGCAAGAATGATCTCCTATTTTTTGAGGAATAAACCCTGATCTAATCCTACAGGTAATTTAACAATCTCCTCTTAGCAAAGTCATTAGGAAAATAGTCCTAAACTTATTGAGAAAGAGCAGCATCTCTCTCATTCAAGCAACTAAGAAAAGTATCTGCTTCCGTTCAGAGCAGAGAGGAAAAGAGGAGAATGGCTTGTCATTTAGGGAAAGCCCATCCCCTCTCAAATGGACACAATCTCAGATCCAAATTACAGGGAGTTGTATTTTATGAGAGGCTTGTCTAGGACTTGCATAACTCAAGTATAACTTTTCCAAAGGAATAAATGTAAAGAAGAGGAGGTACAGTCTCAGAGTACTTGAACTCATAGCCATTGTACGGTATTTTTGCTGGAATGCTGACTTTTTTATTTTCTAAGAATTATCTCTGCTTTGTCAAAGCATGGTCACTCGTCAGTTAACATTACAAGACACCATGGAAATGATCTTCATTTTGTTGAATCACCTTGGACCTCCACTCACATGTTTTTGTGAGTTCATTTTTCAGCACTAGCATGAATACTTCCACTTCTGCAAGTTCTGACGTATGTAAAACAACGGCATCGTTCACAGAGTACTGACATGCACTGCGAGTATTTCTGTTTACCAGCTAAAGTTGCATTGCCTTGTCAATGGCATAAGCACAATTTACAATTAATGAAGCCCGCCAGTTTGAAATGGACTCTAAGCAATTTTGCAGGATTTGCATCATTTCAAATTTTGCACGAGGTGAGCTTTTACATCTTTATTACAGTACTATTCCAAACCTGCATGATTCAAATGCATATAAAATGCATTGTCACAGGATAAAATTTCCCTGATGCACTAAGAGGAGTAATGCTGGGAAGAGGAGAGTCACTCTTAAGGCATGGAAGAGCTGGCTCCCTGAGATTTGAGCTATGCGGCTGAGACAGTGATGGGGCTGCCGAGGTCTGGCTGTGGGTGAAGGGAAGAAAGCTTCCCTTCCTTCCCACCTGTTCATTGACTCTGGTGTGTGAGGGACCTTGATGGATGAGCAACCGCACTATCTGGGCATCTCCTTTCCAGGCTGCCAAGTGCAGAGGGTAACAGCCTTTAGAATCAGCCACGTTGGTCAGTGCATCGTTCCTCAGAAGAACCTCGACCACATCCCTAGAAGGCAAAAATCAACCATGAGTTTGCAGGACTCACAAATCTTTCCTACTAAATAGCTCTTTACATTTGTATCGCACAGAGCCCTTTCACAGATGTTGTCTCATTTGGCTCCCCTACCTCTACCTGAGCTCATTGCCCAGTCTCTTCCTTTTATCCTATGAGCTACTTGTAGAGCTGTTGACACTCAGCTGAACCATCCTGAGCCATGCTACACTGACTCATCACCTCCCCATTTATCTAGGCTTCTAATCTATCTCTTTTCCATTATTTTGAAAACATCTGGTCCTCTTGTCTAAACCTTGCAATGTTTCCTTGTTTATGATGTTTAAACAGCATTCAGAGATAGAATTTACATAAAAGTAGCCATGCAAGACAAATATCATTATTCACCACATTATTCAGAGCATTTATCGATGTGGGAGCTGAAAGCGGACAGGCAGAGCAGAATTAAAGTCGTTGCAAACATAAGCCAGACACATATGGTATCATTTGATACATCCAGAAAGAAGGACTTGGCTTTCTTCTTGGTGACACCACTAATTAAGCAGATACAAGTGTATAATTATCCCCCTGCACATGAGGTCAAAGAAAATCCTCACTGTAAATAAAAACAGCACCTGGAGATAAACTTGGCTAATAAGCTATAGTCATTTAAGTCCAAGATTCGCTTTAATTCAGGTCACCCCACAATTTAAGGGGGGGAGGGATCTCTACAGATTTCTTGTTAGCTTTGTCTATGTCTAAGACGGCTATAGAAAAGACGTAATGACCACATTCAACACGTTTTAGAAAAGCTTAATGTAGAAGGAAACAACCAGGGCCTCTTTTTGGCACATCAGAGTCAACCAGGCTGGGCCAAATATTGCACAAGTGATACAGCATACCATAAGGTGGTGAAGGCCCTGCTGCTCCTTGCTCAGAAAAATCTCCAACTGTTCCAGTAATCCCTCCTCATAAAAACTAAACTTCTGTTTACCTCCTATAGTATGATGCCTCAAACTCTCTTTAACATCCTCTATTCTGTTACACGCTGGTTTCCATTCTTCCACATCCTGGCAAATCTACTCACTGTCCTCCTCAACTGTGCCTGCCCCTTCTCTGAGCCATCACCTTCTCCCTCACCTGAAGGGCAGCATGCTCTTTGGGCTGCCAAGTCATTTAAATCTATATCTTCTTCTCTCAAATTCCCCTCAAAGCACATCTTCTCCAGAAAACTTTCCACACAAATCCCACCCAATTCCTAATAATCTCTCTATAGTTAAGAGAATTAAAAAGGCCATATTATTTATGTATTTTTTTCCCTTAAAAATGGTTCTTACTGTCTGCAAGGCTCATTTTATGAGGAAAGAATGGCAAGCAAAAAGACAGAGTAAATAAATACCCACTTTAACAGAAGGAAAGTTTCTCATGACCACTCAGTTTATAAAGGGGCTGGTCACCTAATAGATTATCCAGCCCCTTTACGATCTGGCTGCCCCAGATTTGATCTTCATACTCAGATCATTGTATGGCACTGCACCATTTCAGAGGGGAAAAGGACAAGCAGAGGAAAAGGTAAAACTTAACCTTTGGTTAAAGGTTTCTTGGAGGGTGGGGTAGGGAAGGATGTTTAAATTATATACTGAAGAGAGACTCAAGAATTCTGGATAGACTAAATTTAGTTTGTTTTTCTCTTTTCCTCAGCACCACTGCTTAGTACACCTTTACAGAAAGCAAAAAAGACAATATGAAGGCCTGGGTTCTGAGGGGTGGGGCAGGAATGTAGCACATTAATACTTACTTATGGCCATTCAAAGCAGCATGGTGCAGAGGTGTATACCCAGTGCTGTCAACACAGTTCACATTTGGCCCTCTCCAGATGCTATAGGGAACAAAAAAAAGACTGAAGTCACAAACCAAATTTAGAGATAGCTAGCTGCTTGGAAAAGAATTCTGTGTAGTGTTTAACCAAACTGGTTACTTCCACATGACAACTGATAAAGCACAGCAGCTATTTACTGCAGAAATGCATAGCACTTAGGGTACAGAATGGTTTGCTGAACACAGAGTCAAGTAACAAGACAACAGTGTCATCACTCAAGAGCCTGTTCTTCTGCAGTCTTCTCCTCATCTGTAACTTCATTATTCACTCAGTCTGGGACTTGTGCCTCTCATTACTCCCAGGATTGTAAGAACAGCTCACTGAAAGGTCATCAAAAATATCACTGAACCAAACCACTCAGCCAGTCACACGTATTGAGCACCCACCTCTATGCTAGTGACTGAAGGCTTGAGACCTCAACATGGACCAGATAGGTAATCAGGACGATTCAACCACAAGGACCAAGATCAAAGAACCCACATTCATAAAAGCACCAGGATCCCCATGTTAAGATGCAAGAGACATGCCATTTGCGATAACATGGATAGACCTTGAGGGTATTATGCCAAGTGAAATAAGTCAGAGGGAGAAAGCCAAATACCAAATGATTTCACTCAGGTATAGAAGATAAAACAACAACAACAACAAACAAACACATAGATACAGAGAATACATTGGTGGTTACCAGAGTGGAAGGAGAGTGGGGGGAGGGCAAAGAGGGTAAAGGGACACATTTGTATGGTGACAGATGGCAACTAGACTTTGGGTGGTGAACACGATGTAGTCTACACAGAAGTCAAAATACAATGATGTACACCTGAAATTTATATAATATTATAAACCAGTGTTACTGCAATACAAATAAATAAATAAGCAAGCAAGCAGGAGCCACTGCTCCCCCAAAAAAGATGCAAGAGACAATTTTGTCTTTCCTTTGTGAATATGTATTATTGGTAATAAAAAGAATAACAACAAAATCTACAATTTGGGTGCCTTATTTGAATTAGAAATACCATACTAGGAAGGTTGAAATGTCATTTTATTTAATCCTCAAAGCCTTAATTCTGATTTCTGTTTCACACCTTACTGCACTGGCCAGAGCTTCTAAAATACTATGAAGAAGTAGAAGGCAGCCTTGTTTTGTCTTCGCTTTTAATGAGAATGTCTCTAATGTTGTTGGCAGTTGGTTTGAGGTAGACACTCTGTAATATGTAAAGAAGTATCTTATTTTTTTCCTTTTTAAAAAGTGTTATTAGAAATAGTTGTTTAATTTAAATGCATTTTCTGCATCTATGGAAATAATCATAGTTTTTCACATTTAACCAACCAGTATATTGTTACCAAAAGGTTTCTTAATATTGAGCCATTCTTTCATTCCTGGAATAAACTTTATTTGGCCATTATCCATAATGGCCATGTCAGTGAATTCTACTTGTGAGTATTTTACTTAGGATTTTCACATCTGAATTCATAAGCGAGGCAGGTCTAAAGTTTTTCCTTTTGTGCTACCGTTATCATTTGGTATCAGTGCTGGGTTTGGGTCACAGATCAGCTGGGCAGCTATCTACCCATTTCTGTATTCAGGAATCACTGACATAAACCACTAAAATTATAAAGAATCACCAGGAAAACCATCTGGGCCCAGAGCCTTTATGCTCAGATGTTGGAAGCAGCATTTTTTATAACAATAAAATTTTGGAAATAGCCCAAAAGTCCATCAATAGAGAAATGATTATGATAACTAAGGTATAGACACATAGCAATATAAATGGTATATGATATTCTACTATGTAATAAGACAGAATAGAGATTACTATATAGTGTTAAGGAGAAAAAAGAAACAAAGTTGTAAATATTTTAGAGAAAGAATATATGAGGGAAATTTATCAGGATAGTGGATTGAGTGACAAGTTTACTTCATCTCCTGTCTAAAGTTCTATGAAGTGACAGAAACGATTCCCACCCTACACCATAGACAGATGATAGACAGATAGACAGACAGGTAGATTCAGCCCAAGAAATTAAGAAAAGCTGTCCTCAAGTAACTGGCAATCTTGAGTAATTCCTAAAAGGCAGAAATCAGACAAGGTCAGATCTACAGAGACACGACTTAGAAAAATGCAAATTAAAATAATCACATACTGCTTTTCATCTTTCAGACTGACAAAAAATGAAAATAATGACATTATAAAGTGTTTGTAAAGATCAGGGAAATAAGCACTCTTAAATACCACTGGTATGAGTTTAAATTGGTGAATTCCTTTGGGAAGACAATTTGGCAGCATCCACCCAAACCAAAAATAGGCATTCACTTTGAGCCAGCATTTCCACTTCCAGACAACTATCCAACAGAAATACTTGTACATGTGCACAAAGACACACACTTGTACAGGACTGCTTCACTGTAAGAGCAAAAACTAAAAACTGAATGTCCATCAATAGGTGAGCAGTTAAATATCAGGTATACCCATAAAATGAATTATTACACAACAATTAAAAACAATAGTAACAACAAAGGAAAGAAAATGAGTTGGACCTGTATGTCTTGACATGGAAAGAGAGATTTCCCAAGAGATACTGTGTTATGGTAAGTAGGAAAAAAAGTCATTGTATAATACACAAAATATGAGCCCCTGTTTTATAAGTACACACACACACAAACGCACGCACACCTGTGGATGGCAATGGGAAGAACGCTCACTAAGTGTTGACAGTGGTTAACTCTGTGGAAGGAAATGTGTGTTGGGGGCACTGCAGACTGCTGAAGAGGGACTTCCATGTTCTGCTCTGTATGCTACCACGCTGCTTAACACACTTACAATGAGAATGCATGTAGTATTTTTACACAAATAATTTTTAAAAAGAAAGAGAGGAAAGAACATATGCATGGGGAAAAGAAGACAAAAAAATTGAAATGTTAATAATAAATGGTTATATGTGTGTGACATAGGCCACTTTAATGAACATGCAGGTATTAGGCTTAAAATCTTAACATAAATTTTAGTGAAAAGAGAGGATATGTGTGTTTTGATATCTAGGTTATTGTTCATTGTCAATCAAGGATGCTGGTGAAAAGGTCAGGAGCCTGAGGCACATCCTGGTATCCTCATCCTCCATTAAGCTTGGATTCCTATAGCACCTTCCCAACCAAGAGCTAAAAGCAATTACATCTCTTTGTCACACTTGTATGATGACCTCATTTTCTAAACCAAAAATTACACACTTCTGCCTGACAATGGATTAAAATGGATGTGGAAAATCTAGGAGGTACAGTTTTTATACTTATTTTCAAATTGTCCCACAAAAGATTATCATTCTATTTTAAAATAGGTGACACTAAAATCCAAAAACAAATTATTTGCCCCAAATCACAGGCAAATCAGTGGCAGATCCAAAACTCCCATTTATGGAGCTCTTGGCATTTGGCCAAACAAGGACTTTATGATCTAACCAGGATGATAAGATGAAGTGAAGGTGCAGTAATACAAGGCTGAACATAATTCAATAGCAAGATGACTGGAATAAACCAACAGGAGTTGGGAAAGAGGAAACATGAGTTAAAGCAGTTGGGAGCATAGGCCTGTCAGCTCCTAGCACTCCATTAGGAATCTGCTATCTCTTCAGCCATCTCAGTCCAGGTCCAAAGTAACCTTAACACTAAGATTTAAACTACCCTTGCTTTTAAAAAAAAGGCAGATATGAGCAAGCCCTCTGTCATTTTCTAACTTTTACCTCCATATCTCTGGCTTAGAGGCGATTAAGTTTGGTTATCCTATACCAGCACTAAAACTACCTCAAAACAATTAGAAAAGACAAGGAAGAAAGATAAGGACTTTCCTGCATAAAGCTGCAATATTTCCAACTAGCACTTCCTCTAAATGCCCATCTAGAAATTTTAGGGAATGGGGAATATATTAAATAAAATCTAAATGAAAATGGAGAACTGTAACCTCTACTTGGAATTTTAGCTTCAGACAGGATGGTAGTAACATCCCCCTCCACCCAAGTTTCTTCCTTTTTGGCAGCCCAAGAAAAGAGCTATTTACAAATCTAGGTCTTCCTCCCTATCACAGCTGTCCTATTACGTTTTTCTAAAACATAAGTACCAAAGGGCTGCTCACCAGCAAACAAAAGCAGAACACAATGCACCAAGAGAACCCAGGAAAAAAACCCAAAAAATGGTCCAGAAGACTCCTAAACAAAGTCTAATCTATATAGATTGTGCAGAAACACAATAGCTGCCCTTGACTTGCAGAGCAAACCCTCAGACTAATCTCGATGGGTCCTAGAGCAGTGACGGCAACCCTGCAGGAAGAAACTAGAGAACCCAGGTTAAGAGCTTAGGCTCTGCAGTTAGCTGACCTAACTTCAAAACTTGCCTCTGCCACTTGTCAGTTGTGTGACCTTGGACAAGTCACTTAATCCTTCAATCCACCATCTCTGCATCTGTAAATTCTACTGTGATAGGCTCTCTAGGACTTAAACGGCTCACAGAAACTAGAACTAAACTGGCTTGAGCCAGTTTAACAGCATTAGAGTTGAGATCTAAAATGTATCATAGCAACCCAACTGCATAGACATGATGTTGAAGCACAACAAACCTAGCCTTTTGTGACTCAGAAGCACCAATGCTTTGAGATAGCATCTCAAGACACTGGAGAAAGCAAGGAAGAATATGATTGACAAGAACCTGTGGCTTTTGAATCCCACCTCAAAGGCCTCTCTCCATTCATTTAAAAACTGACTACATATTTATACATGGCAGGCAGCATGTTGGATCTAGAGCTACTGATGAATAATAATAAGCCACATAGACACAGACCACTCTATACTATGAGGCAGATGCTGAAAGAGGTCCTACGCATGGAGCTACTTGTGCGTGTCTTCAAGAGATATGTGCAGTGCGTCCTCTATGTGCCAGGCGCTGTATTAAGGGCTGGAGATGCAGATGGGAAAAGATATGGGAAAAGATAAAGTCCCTGCCCTCATGGAGCTTGAAT